TAAAAAGCGTAAACTGTACTTGCGTAATTGTGTTTTAAAAAAGGATGTTGCCCTCTATTTTTCAATTTGCAAAAGGGCAAACTGCTTCAAGCGTCCGTTTGCTGTTTCAGAAAGTTTTGTGTTCAGACTGTGTTATACCGTACAAAACCTATATCTTGAGATTTGATCCAGTTTTGCTTACTAAAGCCAATGCTTTTTCTCGTTACAGCCAGGAACAAGTGGATGAATGCGGGAAAGATACTGCGTATGCTACTAGAATATTATTTGCTTATTTTAGATTTTCTCACTGTTAAATTCGAACTTAAATTGACCTACGCCTCACGAATTTTTCTGCCCTGGTAAATTTGCTAAAATTTTGTTGCCCTATTTTTTACATTAAAATGTAAGAACTAACGGGCACTAAACGGTATACGACCGGACGACTGTTAAAATTGAGCCCTGCAATATATACATGTAAATGTTGCCACATATTACACAGAGATATCACACAGGTTGTTTGTTGTATCAGTGTATCATGTCAGATTACAATATTGTGCACCAGCATCTGCTGGCAGTACCAAGGACGCAGGTAAACGATGTAATGGTATCTTTAAGTATTTTCCCAAATGCAAATAATAGGCATTAACACATGCATATATTCTCTTAAGAAATGCATACATTTTCACAATAAGGAAATGCACTTTTACAACTTTATACAGAAGAGCATTTCACATGGACTGACTATTTTTGCATTCTAATATAAGGGCATCTGTCAACTTACTGGGTCCTGCCTAGATAACTCCATTGCTCTGGATACATCTCGATATCCATTTTTGTACCGCCACAAGTGTACTGAAATAAAAATCCAAGCAGTTTATGAAAATATTCCAGTGTTTATGTTTTATACAAACTTTCCAACAAAATGTCATGACGTCTATTTAGTCTAAACTTACTTATTTCATCTTCATCACCTACGGATACTGTCCACGAGCCTATCAGCTCACAACTCAAATCCCCTCTCGTGTTTACGGTGTTGACATATTTCCCACTGCAAATTCATATGGATAAATATTCAGCAAAGATCATTATAAACTACAGTAACTCTGATGTACTAGTAGTTAGGGTAATATCATAGACATTGACATAGACATAGACATCGACATATATATTGTGTAACTTAACAATGTTCAATGTTGCTTCTAATTAAATAAGATTACAGGATTAACAATACTACAATTTTGATTGAAATGTACTTACTATATATCCAGGTATTCACCCATATGATCTGGTTTCACCAACTGATCTGCAATCAGCGATTTATACCACATTAAAATAGTTTGCTACACTCATGATATTCTACATGAATGCTATTTATTCACATATTATCAGGAGTAAGATAATATATCTATATTATCTATATTATCTTACTCCTGATATTATCAGTGAGTGACTTTGATAATGTTATTTTGTATGTCAGACTGTCTATATATAGTCAGAAAAAAATAGTTTATATATTGTGCACCCGAGCGACAGCCATCAAGGGGCATCATGCACAAGGCAGACAAACATACACAGTACACAAGTACGAAGTGCAGCAAGTAACGCTAGTTCTACACTAACGATTGGATCGTAATGCGGCAACGTACGCTGTAGCTCGTACACGTGTTCCTTGTCGGTCAGGAGTTTCGAGTGAGCATCGTGCACAGCCTCAGGCTTCTCCGCCGAAAACCATTTCTGCCTCCTAGCACCTCTGTCCACGTACCTGCAAAGTGCAAATATAGCTAGCAAGTTTTTAACTTGCAGTTGCAATATAGTATCTTTATGGACGCCCCTGGACAATCAATCTCTATCTGTGCGTGGCCTTCGATCGCTTCACTTCCGGCAGAGTGAAGAGCTGCATCACAGGCACTAGCTTGAAGCGTTTCAATAATATACGCAGGGGTCGTGTACGTGTACAGCACACGACCCCTGCGTATATTATTGAAACGCTTCAAGTGCCTGTGAGCTGCATTAAATGTATACTATGGGCATAGATATAGAATAGAATACAGATGGTATAGAACAATCTAACCCTGGATTTGCCTCAATGCAGTATTGAGTCACCCGACATCTGCATCAATAGCCCGGCTAGCAACCAGCATTCCCATGAGTAACAGTGTAACACTACTATCATTGGAGCATATCATAAGGGGGAATGACCTCCTCAAGGTCACACATCTGTTGACTAACTCGTTCAGCAGTGGAGTGGTCACCTTTTCCTGACCCAGATATAATCATAAACGCCCATAAAGATCAACGCAGCAAACTATTAAACAGAATAACAAATAATGGCAAGGATATGTTGTTTTCAAGTACTCCAACTCACCGGTTTAACTGTTCACATGCATTTGCGGATAATACAGACTTTAGACTTAAACGATGACATGGAAGAGAACGTAAACAAGCAGCCATCGTCTCTGTTGTCCACCCTTGGACAAGATCGAGGGACGAGAGTAGCTAGACTGGTACCCGGATCCACCTCTCGGCTTAGGACCCCCATCGAGTAATCGAGGTGGGAGCGAGTACCAGTCTAAGGGTAGCGCCACTGTGGTAGCGCCTCTTGCGGTAGCTGTAACCGAAAAACAAAATATAGTGTGATATATTCTCCAGAGAGGGCAGCATAAGTAATAGACTGACAACGAGCGTTTTTGGAGTTGTCGTTTACAACGCTATCGACCACTACGTTTTACATCTATACAAACGTCATATTTAAATCCACCCGGTTGTTTACCGGGATATTTAAACCTTTCTCTGATAATATTGACAATATTTAATAGGTATTATTCGGCATCATTACTAGTGGTACGTATTCCGCTTTCAGCAACCGCATACACCTGATAACTGTTTATTTTATGTAGTATATTTGTTAGCACAGGGTGCGTTGACGTGGTGTTAAATCACAAATCAAATGCGATACGAGTCACACTCACACTGTCATTGAATATCTGGCCTCACAGCCTGGTCAGACTGGTACAGTGGTACTGGTACTGCCTGGTAGGCCTACAATGCTACTTTGCTAGTAAAAATTCTCTTTAATTGCAGTGATCCATGAGCTGACCTCCTGATTATGCTGATATTGTAGTAAAATATATATCTAACCATATATATAGACCAACTTGGGCCAAGTAATAAATTAATTAACTTACTAAATAATATAGCAATACTAAACTGTGAATCAACGTTCATATATTACCCCGACTCCTATGTAACACTTTTGCATTACTGCAGGCAGCTCTGACTATATAAGCAGGATGAATACAGATTGTGGCCCAGGATCCTACTCCGGCGAACTGGACTGCAGCATCACCGTGGAGATGCTGGCGCCATCTGGCGAGGTGAGAAAGCGAGACGTTCATCGGCAGGCGACGCTCGCGCTGCTGCGAAACGAGTTCAAGGACGTTTACCTGCAACTGAAGGTCAAAACCACGGAGATTAAGTATCGCCTCGGTGACGTCACGGTGCACAAGAGGTTCGCAAAGGACGGCAAGGCTTGCATACGACTAGGAAACGCCGGCCGCCAGCTTCTTCTCTCGAACTGCCCGCCGGACAGACTCCTGCTGTTCCTCCGTTGCCTTTCCTCGAAACTGGAGGTCACGCGCCACGCGAAGGTAGTTCCGATGAAGGAACGCCTCAAGTCGGAAATGCCGAGAACGTTCCAGACCATCAGTCCATTGAGCATGAAGGACCTGAACATGGTGAACAGCCTGCGGACGATGCAGGCAGATTTAGCGCTGAAGGAAAATAGATTGCTAGGGAATGGTGGTAGCCGAGGGGTGAAGCGCAAACAACCTGCCTCTTTGTCAATCACTCCCAACAAGGTATATTACTCCTATTCTTTATAGCTTTATATAGTAATATTCTTTATTACTATCCTCCTTTCAAGCTCCCCATCTCTCTCTCTCTTTCTCTCGCTATCTCTGTCTCTCTCTCTGTCTCTGGGTCAAGTTCTTGCCCCAGTTTCTGCCCCCTCTTTCAGTTTCTGCCTGCCCTGCTATTTATAAGATGTATAGCACTAAAAATACATTTATAGCAAATACCTCTGTAGTCACATGGAATACACCAGAATATTCTGCAATATAATTATATATACTGTTGAAATTTTTTGTATTTCTATTTGATTTTGTTTTTATTTCTGCTATATCAGGGCACATTAACAAAGAAGCCATCACTGATGAGAGCTCCCTCAGAACTTACATCTGAACAAAGACAGGTATATATGCTCATAACATTTACTACAGAATTCATCTGATTTCGATAACACTGTAAAACTAGCATAGATCAAACACACGACCCACTACCGACAGCACGAAATATTTCCTAATATGTGTCCGTGCTCTATATCTAAACCATTCTGAAAGAGATGTTTTTTTTCTTTGATACTTTACATCATGGGTTTTATTTCGTGGCATTACAGGTTCTCTCAGCTGTGCTTAGTGGACGCAGCATGTTCTTTACTGGTGGCGCTGGGACAGGCAAATCCTTCCTACTGAGGAGAATCATTGGGGCACTACCTCCTGAACACACCTTCGCCTGTGCTAGTACCGGCATAGCTGCATGTCACATCGGGGGCATCACTCTTCACTCGTTTGCCGGTAGGTTGTATAACTACACGGTTACTTGTATACTAGGTTGTGTTGCCTACGAGGCATGCACACCTATATATAGCAATCATTTATATATCTGCTTTTATGACAACATTGACAGGTTTTGTTTCAGCAAAGTCGTGGGTCAGTGATATGCTGGTATTTGTTTGTAGTGTACCCGCTTGTGCGTCTGTTTGTATCTGTGCCAGAGCCATGAATGCTGATATATATATATATCTATATATATATATATCAAGAGCGTAGTAAGTATCCTCGCTTAATAAGGGCTTAATATGCTCTTCATATATTTAGTCATGGTACATACTATAGTCAGCCTAGAACACTCATGAATATTATTATGTAGGAATCGGAACAGGATCGGCTGCTCTGGAGCAATGTTTCGAGCTAGCACAGAGGCCAGGTGTGATTAAACAATGGCGCAAGTAAGTTATTCACCATGTCAATCCATGTTCGTAGAAGAGCTGTCAGTTTTGAAAGTCTTGCCGTCTACTCCTCAAGTGCAACAGTATAATAAACTAAATATTTACATATTTTTTTGCATACTTTATATATTATAAAATTTATTGTAGCGAGAACAAACGAGGATAATTATAATTCAGGTAATTAACGTAGGCCCATAATATGATTTTAATTTTATCATGCTACAATTCTTCTTCGCTGTGCATGCAATTACTGAACTATATCGTTAATTTCAGGTGCAATCATCTGATCATTGACGAAGTTTCCATGGTGGATGGAGACTACTTTGAGAAGCTGGAGAAGGTGGCTCGCGTGGCGAAGAAGAACTCTCAGCCATTTGGCGGCATCCAGCTCATCTTATGTGGTGACTTTCTACAGCTTCCCCCCATTAGCAGGGGGACGGAGCGCAAGAGGTTTTGCTTTCAGGTACAGCATAATCTGTTAGTTACGCTGAGAGGGTCTATGTCCCCCAGGGTACTGCCGGAACGTATCCTGGGTACGGTCCGGTATACCGGAACGTACCCTGGTACTATCTAATAATAGTAATATGCCGGACTGTACCTCGCCTACTCCACTAACGAGTCTAGGGAGTCGCCTACGCCTACTCCTTAAGTCTAACCCTAACCATATCGGCTCAGGGATAGAGAAGATGTCCAGTCCTATCTTATCAACTAACATCATCCTATCCAATCACCGTACTGGGCATCATCTCTATCCTTGAACCACCATATCAAATAGTTACCAGGGTATGTTCCGGCAGTACCCTGGCCTGGGGGACATAGACCCTATGTATGAGCCCCACTACCAGTAGTACTACTAGTACTAGTAGTAGTAGTACTAGTAGTAGTAGTAGTAGTACTACTAGTTGAAGTACTACTACTACTATTACTACTAGTACTAGTATTACTAGTACTACTAGTACTACTACTACTAGTAGTAGTAGTAGTAGTACAGTATCATCATTCACGAAAATATTTGCCTTCTATTCTTGAGAGAAAAACCAACATATACCCTTGTTTGATGAACTTCTAGCCCTTCACAGGCAGCTTGTCGGTCAAGTAATAACGTTTGTGACGAGGGAGAAGTCTTCGTAAGGAACAATAGGCTTCGTGTACGGACTAGTGTGGAGAGAACTCGCAACATGGTTTTTTAAACAGGAGATAAACTCGACTTGATCAGAGTTTTGACTCGGTGAAAATTCTAGCAATGTGAGTATAACATGATAGTCTATTTAGCATTCATATTGGCTCTCACTGAATATGTAGTCCTAGAATAAATGGCACAAGTAATAACATCAAAAACTTTTGGGTTCGTCAGTGAAGAACGTGCCAAATCACGTTACAGCATGGAGCGGATGTGGCGACATCTAGACGCCATAAATGTCAGTGAATTTTATTTTTACTTTTTAATTAAAGTTAACTTAACAGCAATAAAATGCAAAATTTGTTTACTTTTGTGCCAATATCCGGCAAGAAAAAGTACTATTGGTGTTAATCTTATGTGTCTTAGATTAAATCAAAAGTAGATAATCCTATCATCTACTTCTGATTAAATGGATTCCCACGTTTTTATCCGGTTGGTGAACCGGATGTAAACAATGCTGTATTCATACGCAGAGCGCGCACTGTTTTATATTTATAACTGAATTAATTAATTTTAGACAGTTGTACTGCTATGACTAATTATAGCACATTTCTAATATATAATGTAATAGTTTGGCTCACTTTTTGATTAAGAATCTACTGTAAAAATACAAATAAGATGCAACTCACCGGCGTGTTTACATTGCTCGCGCCACTTTCTAAAATCGGAAGTTGTTAGGTATATCATGGCGATGTTGTCAAGATTTAAGTTGTTTCTAGCCACTTTGGCTTGTTTATATTTGTTTGATTTCCCACTGGTATCATGTGCTCGTTTCGGATCGAAGGCAACAACGCTTCACTTTCCTTCAAAGACCGCCGAAGACAAATTTCGTAATAGTGAACATGTATTACAATACGACGGTAGCGGTTTTCCAGCTGGACAGCAAGCAAAGCAGGTGTTGCGAGAAAAGCGTAAGGCGGCGGGGGAGTCAACAACAGTAACACCCACCCCTACGACGGGCCACCCGCCCCCTGACGTGACGTTCGTAAGTATTCCCGCAGTTTTATATGGTCTGATGTCAATTAGACTGCAATTTATAGTAATTGTTTGCGTGGAGTCGACCATTTATGCCGGCATAATCTTGTACTACTAGTACTACTACTACTACTACTACTAGGCAATTAGTTCTAATTAATTATAGTGCCGAGTGTGGCAGGCCACACGCCTAGGGATATTTGACGCGTAGGGACTTCCGTTAATCCTTGTTGTTGTTATTCATTTATCCTCCTGCTTCACGAGGTCATGGTCACAATGTATACCCTCTTTGTATCGTTAGCTACCAGTGTTTCCTCATAGTAATGTAGTTAGTAGTGCAGTTAATCCTGGCAGCATATTGCCCAGTACAGTCTAGATACAATAATATAACCAAAACACTGGATAGGGTTACAGAGTTCTCCCCAGGATGAAATTGAAACAGGGGGAGGAGGGAGGAAGGAGGGGGAGGGGAAACTAGGGCCGGGTCCGTGGCCTGGTCGAATCACTGGCAGCAAGAACAAGTCCGCACCTGCAGCTACAACACACACGCATCTATTGACTATATATAACAACATTATATATAGTTATATATATATCAGGAGTAGATAATAGGGAAGGAGTGTGACATCAATAAACAAGGGAAATTCGTCATTTACTAGCCTTAAAATACCTACGATTTACTACGCATAACTCATCCAAATTGAGCTCAAATCGTACACAGTACATTCGCCTAGCATCGTGCGAAATCGTTTCCTCGTTTACACAAGCAATCCGGAGATACAGA